ACCAAGTTGCCCAGGCAGGTCTCGAACCCGTGGGCTCAGGCAATCCACTCACCTCAGCCTCCCAAAGTGCTGGGATTACAAGCTGAGCCACCGAGCCCCGCGCGTCTGAATCTTTTAATCACAGACTTCAGCAGGAGGCATTCTCCTGCTTGGCACCCAGTGTCCAGAGCTGAACACCAGTCTGTTCTCCAGTGTTTTTGTTGTCTTTTTTTCCTTTGAATTTCAAAAACAACTCATATTTTCTAAAAAAATAAAATAAAATCTGAATAACAGAAAAGCACAAGCAGTAAAACACAAGTGCATTGCATTGAGTAGAAATTAATTTGATTCTGGTCTCCTTGTTCTTTTTCTGTTTATCTTTTTCTATTAATGGTGTGATCATTTAAAAATATCAGGCATTGTAGAGGTGCACAGTTTTAGGAGGTGGAAGTACCACTGTAAAGATCACTGCTGTTCCAGCAGTTTGCTGTGTGTGTTTCAGCAATGTGGACCTATTACTGTCATTTGAGCACATATCAGTCATTTGTTTTATATCAGATTAGTGTTGTTTTGCTCCCTCCCCCACCCCCCCATCTAACCTGGCTAGGGCCCTGCCAAACTCTCTGCTGATCTGAGTCTCCCTCAGTGAGTGGGATGCGAGTGTCCTACGTTGGGTTTCCTGTCTGTGGAAGCATCTGTGAGCCCCTCAGAGGTTGGGGCTGCTGTCTTTGCCTTTCCTGTGGCACCTTAGGGAATCTCTCTGCTGTCTGGCCAGGCTGTGAGCCCTGGGCCAAGCAGGGGCACCGAATGACCCAGAAGGCGGTTCCCAGGCTTAATTGCTCAGATGGAGGAGGCATGCCCTGTGTGTATGTGAGGCGTGGAGACACAGGGTTGTACTGACAGAGTCCCTGAGAGCAAGTAGGCCATGCCAGGGCTGGAGCTGGGTTTGGAACCAGGCCCTGCAGTTCTGTGGGTGAGGGATAGTGACCCCCCAGGAAGCCAGAAGTGCGAGCTGGAGAGCCCATGGGTCGAGGCAGCCCCAGTACCCTGCCTGCTCTCCCTCAGCCCCACAGTAGCACCTCATCACCTCAGGAGAGTAGGGGCCTGGACCAGACAGGCTGGGGGAGAGCCCTGGCTCTACCTCTTGGGAGCTGGCAAGGGGCTTCACATCTCTGAGCCTCAGTCTTCTCATCTTTAACATGGGGGGAAAAACATGGGGGGGGAGCAGTCTTCTCGCTGGGGGATTGTGATGATTAGAGGAGATTGTGTGCCCACCTTTTGTCCTCATTAATCAAGAATCTTCACTGAGTGTCTACTATATACTAGAAATTTAGTAACCAGCAAAATAGGACAGTTTCATGGAGGTTGTAGTGTTCATTGCAGGTGTTGTATAACTGGGGTTACAGTGTGATAGGTATCCACGGACCCAAGGAGGGGCAGCTCACCCAGGCTCTGTGGGGTGCAGGGAAGGCTCCTGGTTGTTCTGCATCTCAAGGTTTTGAAGAGCAGCTGGTTTTTTTTTTTCTCTTCTCCACCTGCCCAGTTGCTCAACCAAAAGCCTCAACGTCATCCTAATCTCGTTCTCCCCTTCCCCAACTTCAAGTTCATTGATGTTGCCTCTGAAATACACCTGTGCCTGATGTCTCCTACTCCTGCTGGCTTCCTCACCTCCACTCTCCTCCCTGTTACCCGAGCTTCCCACAGAACCAGCATGAGCTTTTAAAAATGTCACTAGAAAGCCAGGCTCTGTGGCTCAGCCTGTAATCCCATGCTTTGGGAGGCTGAGGTGAGTGGATTGCCTGAGCC